TAGTTGATATGTAGTTGCAGAGTCACTTATCAACAGCTGTTTAAAGGGTACCATCAAAATAATCAAACTGATATTACAATAAAAATAGTTCAAAGCAAATGTGTCATATTACACATTCATCTGATCTGATTTTATGGCTGTTTGAGATAAATTTTTATTATTATTATTATTATTACTACTTATAAGTGGTCTTTGACCGCTTTAAGTAAAGTAGCATAAGAAAAATGGCAAGATATGAGACTTGTAATACATTATAACTATGAGAAAAATAATCCATTGTAAAAGTGGATGCAACGTGTTCATTGTGTTATAAATCATCATACTCTTAAAAGCTATAACCACAAATAAGTAAATATTATAATATATTAAAACTGTTCTTATGAATATTCATGAGATGATACAACATATTATAAGGTTTTTTATAATGCATTATGCATTAATTATAATGCCTTACGAATACCTTTATAATGTATTACAAATACGGGCTTCATAGAAAGTGTTACCAAAATGTCTAATAGCAGCATAGGAACTTTTAAAAGGCATATAGAAATTTTTTGCAAAATTTTTGGAAATCACAGATTTTAAACAGGTCTAAGAATAGCAAATAAAAACCCCAAACTTGAGTGCATTCCCTTGGATTAATGAATATTTGTCAACACTCGATTTAAAACTTCTCTTTCATCCACCCTTTTATACCTCACTCCAAGAGGGATTTCCTGTGGCATGCGATCTGTCTGCCAGCTCTGTCACTCGATAATGTGGAGAAAGCGGCAGAGAGAGATTGAAACACATCCCTGAATGCTGGTATACTCACTTGTACAAATGAGCTTAATGCTATCATGTGTGATGCATGACCTGGCCATGCTGATAAAAGGAGGGAAAAGGAAGGAAGGGAAGTGTTGGGAGGGGGGTGACACTAATGCCCTGATGGCCTGATGTAATGGCAATGGTTATTGAACGGATGATAGCGTTGTTGTAAGCGAGCGTGGCTGCGGCCGAGGGAAATAGACTAACAGGTGCTGATGCTACGCTCTCAGCTCTGAGGAGAGATCTATTCATCTCTGGCCTGCCACGGTAGAGGACGACCGCAACCGCTGGGACTCCCAGATTCGTGGGAAGGAACAAGATGCTTACTTTTATTTGTTTATTTTCATGTTTGCTGCATGCAAATACAAACACATACACACTGGGGCATAACTCCAGATATACATTCTGTTTTCCTACCTTACTGTTGAGCAAAATTGACTGTGTGAAGTAGAATATTTTCAGATTACCTCTTTTCAACATAGTGCACACATGCATGACTAACCTGATTTGCAGTTCTCTTAAATTCATCTGTATTGTCTTCTTATCTGGCTAGTTTTTCTAGGCCGTGGCCTGCACCATTAAAATGCAGCCATGCATGAGAAGTGCCTGTTTTCAACAGCGTTTAGCGTTATCAAACACACAGTAATAAATCGTGCTCTCTTTTCTCACGTCAGTTGCTAAAGTGCAATGAAAAAATCAGGAAAAGCTGACAAGAGGCATAAAAAGATGGAGCGCAAGAGGGAGAGTGAGTATGAGAGAGTAACAATAGTAATGTGCACGGGGGAGTCAACTGGCATGTGTAATTCAGCGCAGCCTTTTAATCTCTGTGTAAGATACTCCAGACA